TTCACTAAATATTGAATTTGTATGATTCGTGTTCATAGTATTACTTATAATTTTGTATCGTTTATCTCACTTATAATTTTGTATCATTTTTCTTGGGTATTTAGATTTGGATTATTTAGTAAATATTGTTGCTTTATGTTATTCACTAAATGTTGAATTTGTATGATTCGTGTTTGTATATGAATTTAATCTTGTATATTTTAAATGTTAAGTATATTTTCTTTAATATATCTTTTAATATCTGAGTTAATCAATACATTGAATTTAATCTTATATATTTTACATGTTAAGCATATTTTATTTGTTAAATTAGATTTTTTGTAAGTTATGTTTATTTATTAAAAAAAACATAATTGACTATTGAATTTGTATGATTCGTGCTTGTAGTATTGCTTGAATGAAAGAGAGAGATACATAAGAATATTTTTGTGGTATAAACTATTTATCTAATATTTATTATATAATTTTTCTTCAAAGAGAGATACAGAGAAATATTTTCGTAATATATTATCNGAGTATATTTTATTAAACTAAATTTTATTTAGTATTGGATTATTTAGTAAAGATTGTTACTTCGTATTATTCACGAAATATTGAGTTTGTATGACTCGTGTTCATAGTATTATTTATAATTTTGTATCGTTTCTCTCCCTTATAATTTTGTATCATTTTTCTTGGGTATTTAGATTTGGATTATTTAGTAAATATTGTTGCTTTGTGTTGTTCACTAAATATTGAATTTATATAATTTGTATTTGTATATGAATTTAATCTTGTATATTTTAAATGTTACACATATTTTTTTAATATATCTCTTGATATCTGAGTTGTCCAATAACTTGAATTTAATCTTGTATATTTTACATGTTAAGCATATTTTTTTTGTTAAATTAATTTTTTTGCAAGCTATGCTTTTTTTTATTTATTATGAAAAAAATAAAATTGACTATTGAATTTATATGATTCGTCTTTGTAGTATTGCTTGAATGAAATAGAAGATATAGAGGAATATTTTTGTGATATATATTATCTAATATTTATTACATAATTTCCTTCAAAGAGAGATACAGAGGAATATTCTTATAATATATTATCTCTCTCAGTGATATATATTATATATCTATAGAGAGATGTAGTATTTGTTTGAATCAGGCATTACTTAATATTTTTGTGATATTTCCGTGAGATACGAAGAGAGATACAAAGGAAAATATTGTCAAAATTTGATATTTTTTGTGTGAATTGAGCGTGAGATAGAGATACAGAGGAATGAGAGAGATAGAGAGAAAGATTTGCATGATTTAAGGAAAAGATTTGGGGGAATTAAATTTTTGAATATCAATGTTGAAAACTATAAATTTTGAACAGTAAAAATATTTCAAAAGAGTTAATGAGGTTTGTCATATCAAAACGATCTGAGACATCAATAGCTCGAGACAATTTGGAATATCGTCGTCCGTTACATCTAGACGTTGTTATTTTTAATTTGGGAAAAATCTACCATGGGTTGGTTTGAATGAGAGAAAAAGGAATCTTAGCACTTTGTGATTCATAGATTATGCTTGATAACTTATATTAACCATCATTAATAAATAGATCCAATCAATGTGATCATTTGACATGTTTAGTTAAATATGTTGTACAAGAGTTAATTAATTCCTTACACGAATCTAAAATAATACGATTCAAACACGAATTAGACAGACTTCACAATTCAAGACTAATTGAAATTCGAGCCCTATATCTATGTGCCATGAAAATAAAAGATAAGATCACCCAACTTGTGTATTTTTTTTATTCCCTAATTTAAGAGTGGATATTATTTAAAATTTCATATCCAATGAAATGAATGCATAGTTCTAGATGGAAGCCTTGAGTAGGTGAAAGAAAATATATTACATACATGCTAATAAGTTCATAAATGGAGGGGTTTAGAACATCAAAAGTTTTGTCTATTATGTTATCCTAACAAAGGACCAATTGGTTTTAGATTAGATAAAACAAACATCTTCGGAGGAAGGAAATGATTTGAAATATAAGCCTTTTCAGAAGGAATTTGTTTGATTTGAAGTTCAAGTTTCTTGAGGATGGTTCATCAGCCGCAGGTTGTTAAAGTTTTGTCCTACACTGACAGCTTCTAATATGTTTTGCGTCAAGTGAATTTCAGTATTTTACTTTCACTCTTCATCTAATTAAAAAATGTTGCATGTAAAATTATAATATTTTACACGAATCAATATAATTGCAAACAAATGTCATGTAACGATGCAATGCACACCTTGGAACGGTATATAAATGTGTGACATTGGATTGTGGTACAATTTTTTGTTCGTGACAGGATATAAGTAATATCGGTTTGTACTTCACTTGCTTAATAAATTATCTATTGTCGATAAAAGTAGAACTTGATGATACCAAAAATTAGACAAGGGTAAGCTCGGCCCTGAAGTGAAACGAGAACTTGCCCCCAATGGGGTCCCCACATGGCAATGTCCGATTCGGGTATTCCAACTCGAACATCCCAACTCCAATTCAGATCTCATATTAGGTCCCCAAGTCGATAACCATTACTGACATGACCCCTATAGCTCACACTTTCTGGAAGGTCTTGTCACACCATGAGAATAAAGCTTTTATTAGCCAAAGATCCCGTCTTATGGGTCGCAACGACCCCAAAGGGATCATGATGACGACGCATAGATCATGGCCGTTACGCGAAGATTACGACGGTTACGCGACAATCACATTTATAACTACTAGCTCCTACATGTTATAAATGGGGATCAATCCCATATTTTGTAGGAGAGAGAGATATGACTAAGAGTGTACTTTCTACTAAACCTTGTAATCTTTTTTCCCAAATAATAGCAAACCCCTCAAGAGTAAGAGATTTCATTAGAGTGGAACCAAGCATCCGAGCTAGTGAACCACTATAAATCTCATGTCTATCAATTTCCATTGATGGTTATAATCTCTATGATTAACTATTTACTATTAGGAGCCTAGTGGCTTTGATTGGATGTGAATATATATCTCTAATAAATTTTCCCCTTTTTTGGGCCCCAAGCTCAGCCATTTAGTCATGTAGACCACACCATCAGTTTGACGCTGTTTATGGGAATGACTGTTTCGACTCCTATTTAAATATACTGATCCTTCAGTAATTGATGGTCTATACGCGTAACATGAGCATAGTTCAAAGAAATCAACCACGTGTGCAGAACTAGCAGGAAGCCAATGGTATTGGACAACTCCAGATCCTTGAAGATCCCTTGCTAAACCCAAAAGGCGATTCACCAGTAGCATATCCTCCTCCAAGTAACGAATTTGAGGCACTACAACAGGCCAACGAGTGCCTCATTAAGCAAAATGAAGTTTGGTAGCACTTATCCATACTCATAATCTCTTAATGGCACCACCAGCCTAGAATGATCCCCCACGTGGAGAATTTCATCGTCTAAATCCTCTAAAGGAGATTATAGAAGAAATAGACCTCAGTCATTCAATCGACATTTTACATCGCCAAGCTCAAGAAATGGAGAAGAAGATAGGTCCAAAGCCAAGTTAGAGGAGTGTTCAGAAAGGAGCGCGCCCTAGTTCCATCCTAGCAAGATGGGAAGGATCAGTTCTAGGAACAATGCTTCAAGGAAATATAGTAGAAGCTAAGCCACATAAATGAGGTGGTGAAAAACAAGACCCTGATAACCATGGACGCTCTATTTCAACAAATAGAGTCTCCATTCACGCTTGGAGTGCTACATTTTCCTCTCCTCTAGAAATTCAAAATGCCTCAAATCAAGACATTCGAGGGGGTGAAAGACCCTATGGACCTCCTTAACACCTATAAGAATCAAATGGAGTTACACGGATACCATGAACCAGTGCATTGTTGGGCCTTTACCATCACTTTAAAGGACTCANGTGAAAGACCCTATGGACCTCCTTAACACCTATAAGAATCAAATGGAGTTGCACGGATACCATGAACCAGTGCATTGTTGGGCCTTTACCATCACTTTAAAGGACTCAGCCTTAGCATGATTCAATAGGCTAGCCCTAGCCTCATTTTCTTCATTCAGAGAGCTCTCCATCTCCTTCATGTCTCATTTCACAAGGGTCAAGATTTACAGGAAACCTTCCTACCACCTACTAAACATGAAGT